TAGTGGACGGTAGTGGCCTGTAGTGGCCTGTAGTGGATGGTAGTGGATGGTAGTGGACTGCAGTGGATGGTAGTGGACTGCAGTGGATGGTAGTAGCCTGTAGTGGATGGTAGTGGACTGTAGTGGATGGTAGTGGACTGTAGTGGCCTGTAGTGGAAGGTAGTGGATGGTAGTGGATGGTAGTGGATGGTAATGGATGGTAGTGGCCTGTAGTGGATGGTAGAGGATGGTAGTGGCCTGTAGTGGACTGTGGTGGATGGTAGTGGATGGTAGTGGACTGCAGTGGACTGCAGTGGATGGTAGTGGATGGTAGTGGACTGCACTTACTTTGGGTAGTTGGTGCAGTACTGTGTGTAGATCTCAAAGTATTCGCTCTGAAAAGAAACAGAGTCATGAATATTAAGTCTGGTTCAGAGGGATGAAGAGTCTCAGCTGTTCATCATCATCATCATCAGTTATTGCTCACCTTCAGGACGAAGCACCTGGCGACGGCGACGGGGTCATTGTCACAGAGATCCAGAGACTGAAGCAGCTCGCTGAGGACAGGAAACACTCGTCACCATCACAACGACAACAACTACATCACGACTACACTTTGATTGTTCAGTAAACATTAAAATCATTATTACAAATGTTAAATTATTATCTATCCAGCACATTGCACCTTTACTGCTTCTTTTTGCACTTCTGGTCAGATGCTAAAACTGCATTTCGTTGCCCTAGTACTTGACAATAAAGTTGAATCTCAATCTAAATGAGGAAATTTAAACATCTACAATTTAATGACAACTAATCAGCTGTTGAAGATCATGTGACCAGACTTTTAAATATAATTTTAAATGTTTCATCAGATAAGAGTGAAGATGATCAGGAAGTGTAATGAGGTCACCTGACCAGCAGGTGGAGCTGTCTCATCACTCTGTTCTCAAGTCTAAATAAAGTTCATACAAAATCAGTTCACCGCTTTATATCATAAAGAATAAAACAAACAAAATGGATTATTATTGATTATGATTGAGTGTTATTGAGTTCATATTGCTGTCGTGTCACCTGTTGAACTCGTAGATGTCCTCGATGTTTCCAAACAGAAAACAGACCTGCTCAGGACGGATCGATAGATCGGACTGATCGATGATGTGAGCCAGGTAGTCCTGGGGGGAGAAATGATCTTGATTTAATTATTTACTATATCTACTTCACTAAAAATCACAATCACGAGTTAGAAAACAAATCAAATCAAAGACGGTGTGTCTCTTCCAGTCCAGCAGGGGGCAGTGTTGACTCTGACTATAAACTGATTACTTCCTGTTTGGATCAACACGCAGATTCAAGTGATCACATCTGAAGTTTGTCTCTGCACTTTGATTTTAGGACAGAAAATACGTCATTTTTTGTTTTGTTACTCTTTAAATGTTTCCATGCAGGACGAGGGTCCGCGTCTCACTCTGTCTGCAGGACGAGGGTCCGCGTCTCACTCTGTCTACAGGACAAGGGTCCACGTCTCACTCTGTGTCAGAGAGTCTCTGTCGTGTTGAGGACAGTTTGGACGTCATCCAGCAGGTTCAGATCTTCACTCTGGGTCCAGGTTTATCTGCGATCCTCACTGTTGCATAAGCAGCTAATCCAGAAGGTCTTAAGCAGTTAATTATAGTCTTTACCGGCTGTATTTAAAGGAGACCTGTCCTCTGAGACTCTGTCCTCTGGTCTAAAGTCTCTATATTCTACTGAATGTATATTTATTTAAAGGAGTCCTGTCCTCTGAGACTCTGTCCTCTAGGGGGCGGGACTAGAACGTCCTCGAGGACTCACCTCTACGATCATTCGCAGGTCTCTGACGTACATCCTCTCGGTCTCGATGATCTCCATGATGACCCGGTCCAGGTAGGTCAGCTGAGGGTTCGGCGCCATGCTCCTGCTGATGAACGGGGACGCCTGGTGGCGCCGGCTGGAGACGCGGCTCAGCGTGGATTCTTTGTTGTTGTTGTTGTTGTTGTGTATGAGGCCGAGGCTGCGCCCCTTAAAGGCAGGCTCCCGGCGTGGCCCCGCCCCCCTTCCGCCCCCTGCAGGGATGAAGTCCAGGTCCACTTCGGAGGTCTGGGTGGTCGGTGGCGGGACGAGGTTGTCGTCTCTGGAGGATCCGGAACCAGAGGACAGAGTGGAGATCAGGCTCGCCGGGCGGTGGTCCGAGGCCTCGGAGGGCGTGGCCTCATTACTGCTGATGGAGGCGGCGGACAAGCGGGGGGAGTCTGGGGGGGGCAGATAGTCAGGAAACTGTTTTAATGAAGAGATCTCCATCAGAAGAGGTTTTTGATTAGCTGATCATGATCATGATACTGAACTTTTAAACTCAGTACTGAGGAGAACTAAATCAACAGTCAACAAAAACATTTGTTCTGAAACTGCAAAAACAAACCCTGACCCTTAAACCCCAGAACCTCCTAAACCCTGACCCTTAAACCCCAGAACCTCCTAAACCCTGACCCTTAAACCCTAGAACCTCGTAAACCCTGACCCTTAAACCCCAGAATCTCCTAAATCCTGACCCTTAAACGCAAGAATCTCCTAAACCCTGACCCTTAAACCCCAGATCTCATAAACACTGACCCTTTAACCCCAGAATCTCCTAAACCCTGACCCTTTAACCCCAGAATCTCCTAAACCCTGACCCTTAAACACCAGAATCTACTAAACCCTGACCCTTAAACCCCAGAATATCCTAAACCCTGACCCTTAAACACCAGAATCTCCTAAACCCTGACCCTTAAACCCCAGAATATCCTAAACCCTGACCCTTAAACCCCAGAATATCCTAAACCCTGACCCTTGAAGTGAATGTAAAAACCTCCAACTTCCCTCTTTTTACACAATCAGTCCAATTGTGCTCACTGACGGCTGACTTTCACAATAAGAGTCAGTGAGGAGATGTTTCAATATAAAAAGAGGAGTTCGTTTTTTGTTCCTGAGGATCTGAAGTGAGAATAATGATGAATGATGAATGTTTCGAGTCGACATGAAGAATTAAGAATCATCACGACTCCAAACATCTGGAATGTTTCACCTTGTTTTTATCTGCTGAGGAATTTAAATCAGGTTTGTGAAATGAAGAAGGAAGAGGAGGGGGAGGAAGTGAAGAAGGAAGAGGAGGAAGTGAAGAAGGAAGAGGAGGAGGAAGTGAAGAAGGAAGAGGAGGAGGCGGTTCCCTCATTAATCATCTGATCACACCATTAACAACTATTGATTGAGGATTTGTTGTGGTCACAGTTTGATTTGAGGAACATGCTGTTGATTCTCTCTCTTCACGCGACTCTGAGCTCAGATGGAAACTTTCACCATTTTAACGAATAAATATGTTAAAACAAGTGCAACAAAGTAAAAACAATCATGAAGTCATGTTCCAATATAGATATCACACATGCTAACGTACTATGAAGCTAAACATGATAGCATTTGACACTAGCACTATAAACGTTTAAAGGTTTAAGGGCTTATTGTTCACACGTTATCATGCTAAATGTTTCATCTTCACTTTTCAACCAAACGTGCAAATGATTTTTTATCTAAATTTAGATTTTTCCACCTCCAAATAACCAAAATAACCAACTTCCACCAGTTAGCGTGCTAACAGCTAGCAAACCAGAGCCTCATAATTCACATGTATTAAGATGAAAACATCATGTGTGGAAACAGACGAGTTTAATATTAGCGAACATACTGGCTAACCACTCAGAAGGTTTAGCTAAATGAGCAGCAGAGATACTGACAGTCCACAACAAGCAGCAAACATTAGCACCAGAAAAACACAGAAGAACTCATATTAACTGCCGTGAAATGTTCAAAGTAAGCTAGCTAAGTAAGCTAACGAATGTTAGCAAACTCAAGCTAAAATGTTAAACATTGCACATTAAATCTTAGCGTGAAATAAACATGGTAACAGCTTAAAGTTAGCATGCTAACTCGGGTAAGTAAGAAGAAAACAAGTAAAACAAAAATAAATCTGTTATTTATAAAATATATTTTAATGAATCAAATATGTCCGACTGCTGTGAGGAAGTGACACCAACTCATTCTGTGTTTGTGTTTATAAACTTATATTATTTTCCTGTTCTGTTTATGTGTCCTGAATGCATCATTAACAGCTTAGTCTTTGTTTATTTATTGGACTGAAGATGAAGCTCATTTTCTTCTTCAGGCACACACACACACACACACACACACACACACACACACACACACACACAGTGAAGTCAGCGGGGCGTTCACTGACCCAGCAGGAAGAGGACTTGTTGACTCCATGTGACGGCATGAGAGCGTGTGGACCAATCACAGCTCAGCGTTTACTTTCAAACACATGTGAACTTTGACCTCTGCTGCAGTAAACCACAGATCTGAGGGTGAGTTCAAGTACACACGGAAACGTGGTAAAACTAAACGTTCTGATAAAACTCTGATGAAATCATGAAAACATGACTTTAAGAGTTTAAATAAAGTTTTCTGTCGTCTGACGACGCTCTGCAACGACTCACCCAACCAGACAAACACTCGTCTGAGCCGCCGCTCCTCCACGACGCTGCTGAAGGAGGTCTTCACCTCCTCCTCTGAACATGAACACCTCACCACAGCCTCACCTCCTCCTCTCCTCTGATAACCCATCACCTCTCACAACAAACTCCTTCTCAGACGTTACAACAACTTTCAGGTTTCCTGAAGGCTCCAAAGTGAAGAGAGACACATGAACACACCTCCTTTAATGACACAGAGAGGAGGAGGAGGAGCAGGAGCAGGAGGAGTTGAGAGAGGAAGGAGAGGAAAAAGGAAAAGAACAGTAGGAAGAGGAGCAGGAGGAAAAAGGGGAGAAGTAGTAGTAGTAGTAGTAGAATTAGTATAAGTAGTAGTAGTAGAAGTAGTAGTACATTACATTACAGTCATTTAACAGACACTTTTATCCAAAGCGACTTACAATTCAGATTCTATCACATTTCTACACCGTAGGCACAACTACGGGAGCAATTTTGGGGTTAAGTGTCTTGCTCAAGGACACATCGACATGCGACTAGCAGAGCCGGAGCCGGGGATTGAAAGACGGCCCTGCTATCCACTTAGCCACAGTCGTAGTAGTAGTATAAGTAGCAGTAGTAGTACAAGTAGTAGTAGTAGTATAAGTAGTAGTAGAGTAGTATAAGTAGTAGTAGTAGTAGCAGAAGAAGTAGTAGAAGAAGAACCATGGTCATGTGACAGACAGGTGAAGAGACACACCTGTTGAACAGACTCACTCTCTAAATGATAGATTTCCACTCATCATCAGATATTAATGTGGAGATTAAACTGATGAGTTTATCTCCTTCACTGTGAGTCCAGATGTTCAAACAGCTGTTCTCACAAACAAACAGTTAGATCACATGACTGTTATGACGACATCAGCAGCTTCTCTCTTCAATCCCTCTGAACTTTATTCAACACGCTGCTTAAGAACAGATAATTGCTGGAATGCTGTTTAGCATTCCAGCATTCCGACTATTTCTTCCGTCCCGTTTTTCGAAACTCTTCTTCTTCATTTTTTAAGCTACAGAAACTGTTCAACTATCAAAATGTTCAGCTCTTTCAGCTCATGTCTGCTATGACTTTTCATATTTCTAATCTTTCAACTTTTTGAATTATTAATTATTTTTTCAACTTTTTTTTGAATGGGATGTCTGTGGAGAATATTTTCAAATCCTCTTAAACTTCTTCAACTTTCAAATCCTTCTACTTCCTCATTTTCAGCTACAGACACCATTTCAACTTTAAAATGTTGAGAAAACCCTGATCTATTGCCACATGATTCAGCTTTTTGATATATTTTACACTTTTTGAACTGCAGCAATTTAACTTTTATGATTTTTCAGCCCTTTTCTGACCTTATAATGGGTGTGTATTGCGCAGCTTAGAGTGCGTGATGTCACTGCTAGAGTGAAGAGCAGCTTGAGATTCTTGTGAAAAAAACATTTGTCTTTTGCCACTGTGTCCACAATCTTCACTCTTCATGCATCATTTTTGATGGAGAAGTAGCTAATCTTGTCCTTGTCGTAGACAAATGACTGTGGAATCCCACAGATTTACACATTTGGCTCAAGGAGCCGCAGAGCGACATGAACTCCAACAAACTGCTCCATTAGACTCCATGTTAAATCTGACCACTCATTTCTCAAAGAAAGCAGACGGTACCAGTTTTGCATATTGCGCTTGAGCTCACATTATTAACACCACAAACATAAAAAACACATCTACGCGTTTGCCAGAGTCTTATCTCTCTCACGGTATCCATATTTTATTGATTAGTCTCATGGTTTTGGTATAAAGGGCATATGTTTGACAGGTAGTTTTGTTGAAAATCACTGTTCACGCTCTCTCTTAACTAGCCTCTAACACACAGGTGCTCCAATCACCAACATGCACCCAAGCACACAGGTGTTTATATGAGCTCATTAGTGATGTTGATAAACACACAGAGTCTCTCTCTCTCTCTCTCTCTCTCTCTCTCTCTCTCTCTCTCTCTCTCTCTCTCTCTCTCTCTCTCTCTCTCTCTCTCTCTCTCTCTCTCTCTCTCTCTCTCACACACACACACACACACACACACACCTTAGAGATTTTAAGAGGACCCCCCCCCCACACACACCCCATTTTAAAATAAAAGCCCCAGAGTGAACTCTAACTGAAATGCTTGTGATGAAGCCTGTCATTTAATAACCTGTTTATCTTTATCTAACATTATGATTCTATCTCCTCTCCCCTTCTCCCTCCCCCTTCCCTTTTCAAAATAAAAGCCCCAAAGAGTGAATTCTAACTGAAATGCTTGTGATGAAGCCTGTCATTTAATAACCTCTGTTTATGTGTGTCAAACATTAAGAGTATGTCTCCTCTCCCCCCACCCAGTCCCACCCTTTCAAAATAAAAGCCTCATGGATTAACTATTTAAACGTTAAGCTCAAAATTAGGCTTTTTTGTTGAAATAATGAATGCTCTTACTAATACTGCGACAACTACTACTACTGCTGCTAATATTTCTAGGCTTACTACTACTACTACGACTGCAACTTTTGCTGTTGCTACTACTGCTACTGCTATTACTACCATCAATATTATTACTACCACTACTGATATTACTACCACTACTACTGCTGCTACTACTACTGCTATTCCTGCTACTACCAGTACTAATACTAGTACAGCTATTAGTAAGACTGCTACTAGTACTTCTACTCCTGCTATTACTGCTACTTCAAAAACTGACTTTACTATTACTACTACTACTACTTCTTCTACTACTGTTATATTAAATACTACGACCACTACTACAGCTATTACTACGACTACTGATACTACTACTTCTACTTCTTCTAATTACTAATACTTCTACTACTACTAATACTTCTACTACAACTACAACTTCTAGTACTACTACAACAAATATCACTACCGCTGAAAATTTTTAAGCTACAGAAACCGATCGAATATCAAAATGTTCAGCTCTTTCAGGAGAGGTGTGATATGACTTTTCATATTTGTAATTTTAAACTTTTTGAATTATTAAGCTTTTTGCAATTGTTTTTGAATATGATATCTATTTTCAGCAATGTTTTTGCAATTAATTTCAGTTTCAGTTCAGTAATGCAAAGCAAGAGGAGACTCTGCTGTTTCATCTGCTGTGTGTGTACGTGTGTGTGTCTGTACGTGTGTGTACGTGTGTGTACGTGTGTGGACACCTTTGTAGTGACATCACTTCCTGCCTGATAACCAGGTGGAGACTCCGCCCCCTCCCCCGTGGAGGATTATCAGAGTTCCTGCTGAGGGAGGATTAACCCCTCGTCTCCCAACTGCTCACTGAACCAGGTCTCTGTACAAAGCCAGTTTATCCTTAAAGGTCCAACTCCTACACACCACCATGAACCACACCACCATGAACCAGTACACACCACCA